GGCTCAGACTAGAAGTTAGTGACTTCAACGACTAATGCCGAGTTCGGTTTGGCCGCCCCTAACTTTCTTCCAGCCGTCTCCAACACTAATCAGCATTGCAAGTCGTTTTAACAAGATACTAGAAGTTACAACTTATTAAATGTAAACACACCAACAAAGTTACTTAGGAAGCTAATATGATTTTCAATATAACTTGCATAAATATAAGAAACCGAGTGCGGTTGCATGCAAATGATCACGGGAATCAAGCAATGGTCGTTAGCGAGAGAAAAAGAAATGTTAGAACGTGACATATTAAAGAAAGTTTATCACAAAACCTAGGGGATAATAGTGATTTTCTTGAAAAAACATGGGTTTAATTTTATCAGTGAAGCATAACATTTGCCACCCTTGGGTATATGTGAATTGTATTTACCTATACTGGACATATGAATTTTATAACAATGACGGGTGGAAGTGAAGTATGCGAACAAACTTGAACCACATTTTGGTCGGAAGAGCGTTGCGGAATGCATTAGAATAGAAGTTAAAATCCCTAAGGTTTTAACTTAAATAGCAAACCCCTATGTGAGAAATAAGTTTCTTTACTAACAACGTACACCAGCAAGGGTGAATAATAAGCCAATATCTGATTGACTTATTTAAACATCTTCCTAAAACTCATCCTGACTATGGGGAAAATTACTAGCTTTTCGTTGACCTTGAAGAATAGCCCACTATTTACCCAAAGTCGGGGGATTAGGTAATATCGCAAAGTCGAAAAACTAGTAGAAAATGAAACCAGTAGTAGAGACAGCCACAAATGAAAGTGGTGAACTTATTTATGTTAAAGATGAGCATTACCTTCTGAACATCTCTCCATTTTATATGAGAATACAGCATTTTTTCTGCTTCATCAACATCCCAACTGCGAGCGCGCAGCCAACGGATAAGATAACGTTTTGATCGGCATATGTCGAGTGGACAACTGAGCATTCTTTCATAAAACTGATGAAGTAGTGACAACTCATCTCTAGTCAAACTTTCTTCCAAACCCAAGTCGTATTCCACCGACCACATGAGAACATAAAACCAGCCGTTTGAATTCCCGCCTCAAAGGAAGGTTGCCCTTGAGAGGTCAATTTACTGCTTTGTCTAATTCAGAGAAATACTTTGAGCTAATTTTCTGAATGCATTTTAGATAGGTATGAAATTCTGATGAATGAGGCATTCAGAATGAATGTGTTTACCACTTAACAACATTCCTCCTAAAGGCAATCTAGGGAATGCATCCAAATGTTTATAAATAAAATGTGAACTTTTCCTATTGATTTTCCTAGCTTCTAACAAAATCAGTAGTGATGCAAAGTGAGTTCGAATGGGTTTTGAATAAAGCCGTTATAACTGATATAAGTTCAAAATATCTTTACGCTATTCACAGAGTTTTATACTTATTCCAAGGAGGTATTGGATGAAGCTCCTAGTGTTCTCCTAGCTAAATATACTTTTCATAAATTTAGTAGGACAACATTTCTGTCGCCGTGAGTATTTGCGATAAAGTTTTAAGGAACTTAAACACCTATCGTTTTTCTGCTTGTGACACCTGAAATCGAGAATCGCATGCGAGGTACATGTAGTGGCATTGGATCATAACCACACTATCCTCAAAGCTGAATACGAGATTACTCAGAAAATAGGTATTCAGTGTTTAACGCGAAGAAATACCTAACGATGGAGAAGGCGCGAATAATGAACTGAATAGACTGGAGTTGATCGGACGGCATGGCTCAGCCATGCAGGCGTGGTCCATCTGAATGTTACCTTATATCTTCCATTCATATTAAATATATTGTTCATTCTCTAGCCTAACTTTGTTCTACATCATGTATTGGTAATTGATACGATACAGTGAGTTGGTGTAGTCGATGTTGTGACTTCCACGTAAGATCTTATAGATTAGGCAGTTAATTCATGACAAATCTACAATTTTAGGATTAGGTGTATTATTAGAGCAGTACTAATATCATAGTAGACCATGATTCTACATACATAGTACTACAAATGAACTACTTTAAATTTTTAGATTTGAACATTTCTCTACTATTTTGGGTGATATTCATACGTTACTAAAGGTTTAATCCTTGTAATCGAGAGTTTCTCTATGTGAAAGGGTTTGTAGTCAGTCAAGAACGTAAACTTTCTTCCATAAAGCATTTTGTGAAAATTGTGTATAGCAAAGAAAATCGCCAACGCTTCTCTTTCGATTTGATCATACTGTTTTTCTGCTGATGTTAGTGATCGAGATGCATGTATTGCCGTTTTTCATTCCATCATGGAATTCGTGTGAAATTACTGCTCACAAACCATATGTAGATGCATCTGCTGTAAGTATTAATGAAATCGTAGGATCGTAATGGGAGCTGCCCAAGCTGAGAATGAAACTGGTGATAGAACACTTTGTCTTTCTAGACGTTGGAGTTTAAGCCTAGTGGCACTTCGCTACTATACTTATCACCGCTCCTACTCATAACACCGATGAAAGAGAAACAGTTTTGTTGGGTGTTGGTTTGGATTATTTATGCCATCTCTGAAGACTATGGAGTTAATAGCCCTCTCCTATTAAATTGAGAGTGTAATAAGTGAAGATCCTTGGTAACAGACCATCCTTAATGTTTCCACATTGTATCAGAACAATCAGTCTGTAAAATTATGGTCAAATACATTATATGGACATCTATTTTCGGTACCATAATAATTGACCAAATCTCAAAACTGTAGACTCGTCACTATGTGAGTATCTAATCTATAAGATCCTATGTGAGAGTCAAGTTATCGTCTACACTGGCTCATCCTACGTGTCAGTCAGCAATATAACGTTTCCTTAGAACACATGTGGGTTAGGTAGATATACTATATTCAACACAAAAAACGATAGGTTATGCAGCGTGACCACGCCTATATGACCGGACCATGCGAGTTCGATTCCTTGTTGGCGCGTTCCTCACTGCTGAATAGATCTTTTGGATAATTGGACGCTCATCTTCATAGGTCATGGTTTTAGATATCAATACCACCACAAGTCCTTAGTTTTCTGGTCCGGTGACTTGTCAATATTGGACTTCGTTATACAAATTAATGAAAATGATTTGTGTGATGGTCTAATTTTATGATCTATGTTTTACCCGGCACATTTTTTCCTCGAAGTCTTAACAACTAATTGACATTTATGATGATAGACAGAATTTCCTTAATAAATCACAACATCATCTGAATTTTAAAAGTTCATGGACATTCACACAAGGTTGGTGAGTCATTGTGATAACAGTGAGCTGCTGAAAAATTTTCAGTTTATTTTCAGTGTGATTCAGCTGCTGAAGATTCAGCACCGAACAGTGGCATTCACCTTTTCATGATCAACTGTCGTTACCATGTAGTTGTTAAGTTGTCGAACGCGGTGGGGAAATGCAGTCACTTCATCGCGCATTTTCGTTTTTATAATACATCCTCTATCACTCAATAGACAGGTTGTTTCCTGGAGAGACTTTGTGTTTTCTTAGCGTAAGCTGTATGATCAGGATAGCCTAGCCACTTAGTTAGGGAGAGGTCAATTCTTCAACTCATTGGATTGCGTTACTTAATGTTCGCCTACAACGTCTCATTGAAGTTAGAATTTAAACGTACTTACTAACTTGTTTTATCTGAATATCATGCCCTTCAATCTCCTATATTGTATAATGTAGTGTCTATTTGTTTAACTTAATTCAGTAGGGGTTTAGTCTGCTTTCCATGCAGTGCAATGAACGTCGATATATAGTGATTGAGGACTTTTTATTGTGGTGGATCTCAGCAAAAGAGCTTAGTTAAGATACAACAATAGGTGAAGTTATCAATGATATACCAAAAGAATTAGCATTATAAACCAACGTGTTTGTTTATTAGTAAAGCAGTGGGTAACAAATTACAGTTACAATATAAATGCTATAAAAATTAGCAAAATGATAACATTTGTTATGAAGTGAATGTTACCTGTAAGCTGCACTCTGAGATAACAATCACAAATGAGTTCACTGAGTTAATAAGGTTTCTTTACAAGAGGTGTCATCAACGACATAATGAGAAAGAATAAATCTAAGAATATTATTTTATGATAATCCGGGATAAATTTCCAACATAGTGTGAGAAGGCCTCAAATGATGTCATAACACTATTATAATTTTCAACCAACGGTCGTGATCGATAAAGCAGAACAGATTCCGGAGATAGCGTTTATTTTGAAACAATCACGGCAGTGTGTATATTATAGCCAAACAATTATATCCGTTTCTTTACCATCAATACAGAGCGACAATAGATAATGTATATAAATGCAGTTGCATATAACGTGTGACAAATAACGAATAATGAGGTCTTTATTTTGTCGTTACAAAAGTCATCGAATATACATGTCACAATAGTATGACTTTACTGAATAGCGAAGATGTTAAGATAAAAGTCGAACAGCTTTGCAGTGAAAAAACAACTAACAATAATAATATATTTTCGCTGGAGCACGCATACGCCATATTTGCAGGCGTGATTTACAGTTTACAAGGTTGGTTTGCATATCAAGCCCTACTTAAATAGGGTTACAGAACAGATAAAATCAACAAAAACAAAAGGCAGCATATTCATGCAAATTTTCCGGAGAAATAATAAGTAATAATAAACTCCACGATTCATCAATTTATTAATGACTGAATAATTTTTCGAATCGCTACTTTAACTAGCTGTAACCCAGTAAATGGGCCGCAATAATTTTTTAGCCCTAATATAACAGTTTTCCAAAATTTTAAAATCGCAAAAAGCATTTGCTTACTGATTATAGATCTTCATGTTTGACAATAAAAAAGGAAGATGGCACGCTTGAAATAATTTTCAACGACGTTTTCAGGCTGCAGGGTGTCAGCAGACTACTTAATCATGCAAACACGAGGAACCCATGCAAATTAACACACTCTCTCCAAGTATAAATTGCCCGCCGTGAACAAAGCCGTTCAAGGTCGTGGAGGCAAACTTGACCCAGACTCATTTCGAGGCTGTTTGGTTAGTGTCTGAGATACTCTCATTTCATATTCTGCGCAATGATGTTTATGTATTTATATCGACTTAAAATGTTTTAAGTACGCTCTAGACCTTTTTGTTTCTTAGGAGTGTTATTTCGTAGTCTAATTGAAATCCAACGGTTATATAAAGCCGGTAACTATGATCAGAGTCGACTATCAATTTTGTCTTAAATGTTAGCTTTACAATCGGTTATCTCTAAGTAAGTGTTTGCTGAAAATCTATAGCTTGAGCTTTCATAAACATCAAAACTGATAATCGCTTTATTTGACTAATTAGTCGAGTTCCGAAATATTTTCTATCCCCAAGATATCTTGGGGAAAAACCTCAGTGTTATGTGATTCTGGGGAAATATTAGGGAAAACCCAAAATTTCCCAAACATCTTGGGGATTTCCCTTAGACCAGGGGAAATTTTGGGGTATTTGTGCCATTTCACCAAAGTTTTCTATTGCGGCATCCCCCAGATTTATCCAAAACGGACGAAATTTCCCCAAAAATTGGGAGTTTGGGTCGTTAGGACTTTTCTTCGCAAGTAATTATACTTTTGATGGTGTTTCGACTTCTGCATATTTTTATAATATCCGTTATATTCCTAAAGATAATGTCAGTTAAGTGTCACTTTTTCGTTAACGAAAAGTAGTAGTTACTACTCAGATGGATGTGCAATCTCTGTATGTTTGGAAGTCCTGGCGAAGTTCCGATCGAAGACTTGGGAAATTTAGGATTAAAACCTGAAAATCTTTCATGGTCTGATGTAAGCAAGTTTTAAGGAAAGCCTAAAATGCTCCCCGAACTTTGGAGATTGGGTACATTGCAACATGGGCTGTAGCTTGGTTTAAAAAGCAACTGCCGTCCACCACATAACCAATTTTCAAATACCAACTAGTTATTTTCATTTGTGTATTGATTTTTTTTTGGCCTTAAGATAAGGATATGAAGCTGACTCTGATTAAGGCAAACGGTTATCAGCCTCTGAGTCCCAGATTCGAGGCATATTCCATCTCGGTTTCAGGGAATGATTTTATCCCTGGCCCTCAAATTTCGTGTAACTCGTAGTCAAGTATTGGGGTTTGTGCCTGGTGGATCGGTCAGTTAAACTCAGAGACTGTCACTTGGTTATCAGTAATGCTCCAATCTTATTACTTCCTAATATACAGGCAGTTGTGGATAACATGAAATTTCGTAGAATTATGCGTCAATTCGAGCTAACATGATTGAAAACGAAATAAAAAGTGTTTACATTGATTGTAATGAAGAGTCGATATAAGAGATAAACTTAGTGAAAAATATAAAACCTAGGGTCTTGAAATACAGATTCTTATTATTGTACAGAACAAACAAGAAGTCCTCAACTCGCAACATGGCTCAAATTAACAGTATGAACTGCATATCAGGGTACGCATCAACTAGGAGTATGTATCATAATTCCTGACCACTTATCTTTTTGGTAAACAGCCTGACCACGCAGCTTATCATTGTGTTATTCTAAGCTAAAAATTGGCATTAAATATTCCTGAGATTCCAACATACCTAAGCTATTCTTTGAATTTGTTTACGACTAAACAACATAAGAACGATTTTTCTCTCACAGACCATGTTTAGTAGCCATAAATGAATACAGGGCGAACTGTTGAACAGTACACCCACCTTTTGGTATGTAGACGTATATCCAGTCCTTTCGCGTTGCTGCGCTAGTTGAGCGAGACCAATTGACCTTTTGGTATGTTGATTTAACAAGACCAGTGAAACTAATGGACAGTAAAGTGGTGGACATGTTGATGAAACTATACTGTACAGACGATCTTCGAGGCTAAAGTGATCTTCAGGGAATTCACTTACTAGGGTCAAAAAGGGCTATAAATTGTGCGAGAAGTTTGAACTTGGATCTAGAGTACGAATTTTCATCACTAACTGACAGCTGTAGTACTAAATTGCAATTTAACCATATGGATGAATGAATTTCTCACCAAAATGCAAGACTATCTAAAATTTGATTAGTTCGTCCACCAATTATAACTTCTGATCTGAGCCATGTTGGTAGATTCAGACTTCTTGGTTGGGGTACGCGCGACTATCACAATCAATGGTTGGAGACTCCGGGTGACATGGCTCAGAATCGATCACAATGGTGCCGGTGTATACATTCTTTGTCTCCCGTTCAACTGTGAGATTACTTTATATCTTCCTTTTTACGAACCAATTCTATCTCTCTGTATCATATCCTTGTATGCAATCCTTTTTTATATATTACTGTCATTCAAGTAACTGCCTCTATGAACTCGGTGTTTATTTTGTTCTACTAATGAGGTGTGGCAACTTGGACCGACACATATATGTGCCTGGTCCTTTGTTGTAGTTGATTGACTGACTGAAATTATAACCGCTCCAATATGCTCCGCTATTTTAGTCACTATGGTCGTATTAATGCATTGATGAGCGAGAGCAAGATCTCAAACTTTCGTGCTCTGTCATTTAGTATTCAAAGATTGATTTTACTAAGTGTTCACACTAAAGTGTCGTATACTATCCAGGTAGTTGAATTTAAGGAGTGGATTCATGGTATATCAGCCTCTAAAATGTCAAACGAAGAGTTCATCACCATTTGAGTTATACATGTACCAAAATCAAATAATATGGCCAACCTAGTTAAACAATAAGCCTAGTCGGTTCAGACAATAGTTTGACGAAAGCCGAGGATCGACCTGTAGTAGTCTTAGTATAAAGCCTTCATAGGGTGCACTTTGGCATTCTTTTCGATATGTTTTAGTACCATAAAGCCTGTCGACTGACGGACCAACACTTGGCAATGAACATCTTCCTATGGAATCAGCTTGCTCGATCGTTTGTATATAGTTTCAAACTATTCTAAGAATTCACAACTAAGGAAATACTTTCCAGGAGTAATGGTTTCATGACCTCATGCTTATATCATGTCGCTGCGGGTACAGTTAAGCTTATTTGACTGGTTGGTAAAGCCATTGACATACGAACGGTCGTCCATTATTGGTGAGAACCTGTAAACCTAATAGACTACTTGTCTAGATTGTAAAGCAAGTAGTAATTTGATAAATTGTATTAGTATTGTCGTCAGATTGAGTTGCTGTTGTTTACCATTATTTTTTACATCTTAGCCTTATGCACTGCACAGTCTTGTTGACTTGGAATGGTTGACAGCAGTATTTTTGATGAAATACCTGAAGAAATAAGCGCTCAGTTAGTTTCTTTTTCAGAAGCTACTGATGATGTTGAACAGCTTGTAAAAAAAATTAGCAACTTTTCGAATGATTCTAATACTGAGGTAATGCTATTGAAATTTATTAACAAGAAAATGTCTTAGATTAGTGATTTGGATACCATCAAAACTGATCTGTCTTTATGCTACGCCTTTAATGCTTTGTTTTTCAGTAAGTCGATAGGAATTCCTTTTTAATAATTCTTTTTAGTGTATCTTAGGTGCAATGGTGTAGAAACTCAAAGCCATCCTATTATGCAGGAATTGGTAAGATCGTTATTTTCGTATTTATTATACTTATTCTTTCATGATAATGGACAGTATCCTTACGATGTTTTTCACCATTAAAAACTTTCAGTTTGTCATTTTAAATGAGAAACCTGTACATAGGTTATAACTTGGATGTTGTACCAGTTAATAAGTGTTGAATTCTTCGTCCTGAATTAAATCAAACAACGAGCGCGTATCTGTCTGCATCTTACTGGACGTAGGAAAGACGCTGCAAGTAAACCTCTTAGGGCCCTACTTAATAATAGTCAAGCTAAGAGTATATTTCAGGAACAACTAGGAAAACAGTTAGGCAGCCATGTATGTAATGCCCACCCCGAGGCAGCATGGAATGATATCCGTAAAGCTGTGGAAACAGCAGTGATATCTGCTAGTAAGGTAAATCAGAAGGTTAGGGAACGACACTGGATCTCAGCAGCATCTATCGCACTGATAGATACTCGGAAACTCATTCCACCTGGCTGTGAACATAACGAAGAGCGGAGTCAGATTAAGCGCAAGCTGACAAGAAGTCTACGCAATGATCGTGATTAGTGGTGGGTAGCGAAAGCAAGAGAGATGAAAAAGGCAGCGGCAGTAGGTAATAGCAGACAATTGTTCAGACTTGTTAAGGAAACCTACTGTTAGCAAAACACTCTCAGAGAAAGATGGACATATTATACACTCTCAGTCCAGGAGATTGGATCGATGGGCAGAACACTTCAGGGATCAGTTCAACTGGCCTTCAGCCACACTTCGGTTTCCCACGATCTCTAGTCAACCTGAATGGCAAGTTAATGTAAGTTCTCCGTCCCTTTACGAAGTTGAAAAGCCGTAGGAAATCTGAAACGAGGGAGAGCATCAGGCCCTGACAGGTTTACTCCTGAGATTTTTAAGGATGGTGGTCCAGTATTAGCAATGAGATTAACCGAGGTCTTAGGTAGAATTTTGGAACTGGACGTAATCCCATCTGACTGGTCCCAATCACTGATTGTGCCAGTCTATAAGAAAGGACAAAAGTCCTCTTGTGACAATCACAGAGGAATCAGTTTGACTAATTTAGTGTCTAAAATATTAGCCTCAATAATACTCCGACGCCTAATCGAAGCTCGTGAAGAGCAGATTAGAGAAAATCAGGCGGGTTTTCGACCTGGACGTGGTTGTATAGACCAAATATTCACACTACGTCAGGTTCTAGAACACAGACACACGTTTAGACGCCCCACAATGATAGTATTTCTCGACCTTAAAGCGGCATTCGACTCTGTTGATCGTGAGGTTCTATGGCAGTATTTATCACTGAAAGGAGTACCAAAGAAGTACATTAAACCTTATTCAGGCTCTCTACTCGAACACGACTGGTAGAGAGAGAGCTTATGGCGAACTGTCATCAGAATTGATGACCTCAAGTGGTGTTCGTCAGGGCTGTCCACTCTCTCCTTTCTTGTTTAACCTTGTCGTTGACGTGCTTTTAGAGATGACACTTTCCTCATCTAAATTTCCAGGGGTTGAACTTCTACCAGGAGGTTCACTTGTTGACTTAGAATATGCCGATAACAGTTTTATTCGGCGAAGACGCTGACAAAATGCAGAGTCTTCTGACCACTCTAAGCAACAATGCAAGCATGTTCAGGATGCGATTCTCTCCCTCGACATGCAAAATGTTGCTTCAGGATTGAGTTGCATTGACACCCGAACTAATGATAGGGAGTCTCATCAGCCCTTGTGGTCTGGTGTGTGACGAAATCTCAGCACGGATACAGAAGGCTCAACTAGCTTTTGCTAACTTGCGTCATTTATGGCGTAGGCGAGATATCCGTCTATCAACCAAAGGACGTGTTTACTGCGCAGCATTTCGTTCCGTCCTGCTTTATGGCAGTGAAACATGGCCGGTAAGAGTAGAGGATATTTGTAGATTACTAGTATTTGATCATAGGTGTCTTCGAAATACTGCTCGTATATCCTGGGACTACCGAGTAAGTAACGCAGTTGTTAGGAAACGGGTACTAGGTAAGGATGGCAAATCGATTGATGAAGTGGTGAAACTTCATAAGTTGAGATGGCTGGGGCACGTGTTACGTATGCCCAACGACCGACTGCCTCGACGTGCGATGTTCAGTGGTATGGGAGTAGGTTGGAAGAAAGCTAGGGGCGCCCAGACCAAAACATGGCACAAGTCGATGAAGTCACTGACAAGTGGTCTGAGTCATGTCGGTAGGTGTAGACTACCTGGTTGGGGACCGCGAGATGATAGCAACCGATGGTTAGAGACCTTGAATGACATGGCTCAAAATCGTTTGCAATGGCGCAGGTGCATCCACTCTTTGTGTTCTCCCAAATTTTGGTCTCGTGATTCCCCTTGTCTCTTTTTTCTCTTCCCAAGTTTATTTCATTGTATTATACTCTTTAAGTAACATCTCCAAACACTAATCTTTCCGATTACTGCTTATACTCTTATTACCTCTACCACTACGGGATTTGAATTGACCATGGCATCTCTGTGCTAATGTTGTGTGGCAACTCGAACTGATGTACGTACGTACGAAGTTCTACGTTGTTACTAACTGGCTGATCTCTGTTAAGTGAAGGTTTACGTGATCGGCTTTAAACTGAATTTTTTAATGGATTATCCGTACAATAAAACTTCCCGAACCGAAGTAGGTGTAGTGGAGTTCAAACCCTCTACCTGACTGTTGGAGTTGATTGCTTTACCTGCTAGACCACCTATTTTTATGTCATATTGATAAACAAACTGGATGTTTTATTATGATCATTTAGCCTCCTTTTTTATCAATACGTAAATAATATAACCTAAGACTTCCTATTCCGGTCAACATAAGTATGAAATTAAGCTTGAGCTTTTAGATTTCGTTGAAATTATTATTGTTTAAACACATAAACATTCGTACGAGGCACCAAACAGATATGTGCCGCATAAATCATTCGATTTATGTGATGTTTAGGATACTGCTCGTGTGCCCAAATCCAAAGCAGGTGGTTTTCTCAGGATCCTCCGTATCCACCAACCCGGTTAAAGCGCCGGACATCCGCTTTTCGTCCCTCAATTTCGCAATCAGCAGCCCCGCCACGAGAAGGCATTGAGTAGGACCGGTCGATGTTTGACTATCATTGGAAAAATGGAAGCACTGGATGGCCATTTCGTCCGATTGTGGAATACCTCAACAGTGCTCATCCATAATCCCGTACGTAGGATATTCAAGTTATTACAGGAAATCTTTCATCCTCTATTGGTGCTCAAGTAACCAAATTTACCGCTAGTTTTATAGCAACATGTCTGAGTGTAGAAGTCGGTAGCTTTTAGTGTGTGTTCGCTTGATTGTTATAACTTCCCAGGACTGAAAAGCGCCTACGTACATAACCTAGTGTTATTTATCATTTATATATTCTGTAAATTAACGTGTCAGTTTTGAAATACATTTGATGCATCAAATTGATCTACTTTTCTTTAAGCAAAAATAAATTTCACCATGCAATAATAGAAACGTGTCTTATTTTTAATATCTCGCCCGTCATATTACGGACATTTTTGCAACAAATTTTACATGCAACAAAAAAACACTTATTGACAAGCCTCAACAAGTTTTTACTTGCATACGATTAACTATCCACCACATTTAGGAAAATAAAATTATACCCTCTTAACTAAGTTCAAACTTATATACAGGGTTATAATCGATATCTACTGTCTTTAAGTCTTGAAAGTCTACTAAAGTGTTCGAAATAAAATTGGATGAAATAATCCAGTTTGTCATAATTCACATGCTTCATAGGCACCTGTAGTCAAGTACTGATTACCTACAAATTTCATGTTTCACAGTTATAACGTAAGACAAAGCGAACTACTGTGCGGTAAACTCGTCCCTTGGTTGGGAGTAGGAGTTATTGTCTATACTACAAGCGATGGAATTTGACAAAAACCAAGGGAGTTTTCTAAATCTGTAGTGAGTGCTTGTGAGACTTCCAAGATAAGGAGAGTGGTCAAAGCTCTAAATAACTATGGATCTGTGATTCATTATTTGTAAACTGACGACATTCTGAATCACTAGTCTACAAATATCTATCAACAAATAAACTAAAAACATTACTTACCTAGCAATACAGTTTTATGGGCTCACGATTTAAAAAAAAATAAGTTGCACTCATTTAACGCGTTATTTGTCTGTAATTGTGTGTTGTTTATGTGTTTATTTTTACTTTTTGCAAAGGATCGTGTAATGAATGCGTTGAAAAGGTGTAGATCGTTAGTCGAAAGAGAAGGCTCTGCACGTTTGAAATTGGACAAAGAAGCTACAACAAGATTTGTAAAACATGCCTTATGGAAATCTGCTCATACTAAGACTAAGAAACGTCGCATGGATTCATCTAGTTAGTATTGGTGATAATAATTCTTAATTGAAAAGACCTTTATTTTGTTTCGTTTTGTATGTATAAAAACGAATTAACAATCAAATGTAAACTTATACTTTTCCAGATGTTTTTTCTCATTTGAATAAATTTATTGTACAAATGGTGTGATCAGTACCTGCAATATATCAATTATGTCAGATTTTGTGTATGGGTTAGGAGTATAACCTGACTGCAGGTAAGTGTTGGTTTTGGTCCTATAAACTAATAATTTAAGGTTAAGTTTTTGAATTGATAAAATATAACTCATTTTAGTTGGGTTTTTATGTGAGCAGATCATTATCAATTCATAACTTTCTTTACAACTTTCAGGATTGAACTAGACTAAGTCTGTCATATCCATTTTAAACATTTTACTCATATCTTCTTAACCATGTAACTACTAGAGTTTCTAATCAGGAAGCAATATTTATGAGCTGGCTAGGTAGAGAGCATGTACGCGCAGTGCACATAGGACTCTAAATGGCGAGTGTTTTATCGTATATCTTTAGCTAGTTTTATTAGTACCTTAATAATTATGAACTACTGTTGGACATGAAATGAATTAATTATTATTAGTTTTGACGATTTATTTACTTGATTTGAGGATGTATATGTGTTGAAATGATGTATACATTTATTCAACACGATGAAATGTAAGTACAAATTACTGTTAATTAGAAATACGGGAAATGGTACAGTGCATAGTCTAAGAACGAAATGAGGATATTGAACGTAACCAGTAAGAAGTAAAAAACATATTCAGATTTCGGTTTGCACACCCTTCTTGTGATATGGTTAGAAAAAACGGTTTTTTTTGGGTCTAACAACAGTAGTCCTACAGGACGCAAGTTAAATACTTGTGATTAACGAAGCATTTGAAGAAAGAAGAGAGATAGAGAACTTCAGCGACCAAAGTATTTATTTATGAATGAATTAAAACATAATTAATTGGTTGATAAGTTGCGTGATATATAATCGGAGAATGAGCAAAACATTTTCGTCAATAAGTCAAATTTTACTAAAGTTGAGAACTGAATACTAAGATTATGTAGAAATACAAAAGCAAAAAGGAATCTAGGAAAAGTAGAGGATAAAATTCATTTTTTGGCCTCTTTTGTGTGGGATATATTGGTGGCTAAGCAGGCAGAGGAATAGTACAAACTTATTCTGTAGTCAAATGATTGGTTTGTGGATGAATTCCGATACATTAGGAAGCATGCAAATGCCGACACACATGAAGCCATGTAGTTTATTATAAATAAAGTGGAAACCTCCATTCAAGTACACCTGATTTCATATATCAATCAAGTCTGAATGATTGGAGCTCACAATCATCCTTAACTATCATTTGCACAACCATGCCGCATGGTGTCCAAAGATACAATAACAGGCTTGACTAATTGTTTTCCTTATGTAACTAATCCTACAGCTAATTTCTTCTACGTTAAATTTCTTTCTCACAAATAAAGTTGTTTTCGAACTGTAGTTTTGAGATTAGTTACTTTGGGACAGTCGCTATCGTCATGTGTCTGTGGATAAGCTTGATTGGATATCGGTTCCCACGATGTAGGTTTTCGAAAACTTAATTTGAAGAAATCTCAAAGATATTTCGTCGAGAGTTATAAGGTTTTCATAACTAAGTTATCATACTTCTCAAATATATGGTAAATATAAAACAATTTCGGATTAATATGGAATTTCAAACAATTGCTAGTGATTATATTACTTAGTAATAGCGAGTAGTGCAATTTATGCTCTTAAATTTTGACCATATTTGAATATAAACGCCATCTCGTAGTTCTTTTAGTTTTTCCACTAAGTGCGATTTATTGATTACTGGGAGGTCTTCTAGATGATACCCCGACTGATCAACCAGAAAAGCGAGCTGACAAAATGTTTTGGTAGTTGGTGGACAACGGCTTTATTAATAATTTGGAAACATTCACTAATACATAAGACAAAATAGAGTGGTAGCGAGATCTTTTGAACGTTTCATTCTCAAAAAATTTGAGACTAGTATTTATTAGTTTCTTTATGAATATCAGTAATCCAAAGGATAGGCTCTTGCATCCGGCCAATTCGATTTGTTTATCAGTGTACTTGCTCTTTTGGAGCTATACCAGTGGTAGGAATCGCGTTTAGTGTGAATAGCTCAAAAAGGTATGATTCAAAATTGGTATCAGTAAATTCATAGACAGTGTAATAAGGGAGTACCTTAGGAATACCGATCATTTGGTATTGCTTATTAACTTATCAAACTCTACATAATTCCATCTCTATAGTGTAAGTTACAAACTGATCCTGGCTAGACCACTATTAAAAACCTGAAAGCCCTTGACGGGCGTTTTGTCTTATTATGAAACTTTCCAGAAGTGCGCACCCATGACTCCTCATTTCAGATTCGAAGTTAGACATTGACACTGTTGGATCGCGGCTCAGTAGTCAAGAGGCCAAGCGTTTACATGTGAGACTGGAAGTTCTGGGCTCGACTCCGTAGTGCAAGTTCGTGACTGGGTATTCATGAGTAGTCCCGTACTAGGAGGAAGCGGCCATCTAGTGCTTTTAGGTGTCCAATGGTGGTCTAGTCAAGATTAGTTCATGATTTAAACTGAAAACTATACAATATTCACAAATTCCGTTTTTTAGTTTCGTAATAAGAACAATATTTTCCACACCTTAGTTCATTTTTTTGTCCCCATAATCGATAAAGTATCATCATTATTAACAAACATTATAGGTTATCATGGTGAATTGTGTATATATTTACGATTGCACAGATTAAAGAATGAAACAAATGAGGGGTCTTTTCGAAGAACCAATTTGTTTCTTAATTAAAAATTGTCATAAAATGTTCAGGAGTTGTATTTCCCAAATCTCTCAGAATTACAATGGGTATCAGTAAAACAGTAGTTGATCATTTTAAGGTTTTTCCTATTTAGAATAAAATTCTTTCTATATTTCACTGAAAGCAACCTGCAGGTCAATAGTACTACGATATTGAAACCCAGATAATTGGGTTTTTTTTTTAATTACTACTTCAGAAATCAATGGTGGACTTTCAAATCCTAGAAAATTATCACATTTTTCCCTGTTTTGTAAATCCTTTACCTTCTATTGTTTTGGTCCAAATTTCTACATATGTATTAAGTGTGAATTTGTTTTTAGTTGATATCTTGATTTTCAAGAAAATATCAAATAATATAATGGATACATTTTACTCTATTAATTGTAATAATTTAACAGGTAATAATAAGGCAGTTTACTTTATTTCTCATGGATAACAAATAACAGTCTATTTGGTTAGTGGGAATAAGTTTCTTGTCTGTTGACAGTAATCCTAAGGTATTATAGCAAGAGATTGTGATTGTTAAGAATTTTGTAGTGCAACTTTCAATTTTCAATCACTATTTTGTTTTTTCTCATATGAGCAAGATTCATGAATAGATTTGGAATTTTGAACACAACAAACTGACCTTTTATTCTTTATTAAGTTGAACTATGAACTCATTAATTATACAGGACACACCAACCTAGTAACATGTGAATGAGATAAATAGTTTAGGTAATATGCTAGACTTTTCTTTTGATATTATCAACTTCTTATATATAGAACTTAACGAACTGTTTTTGTCTTGACTATAGAAACAATTTTAGATCATATACGACCGAGTGCGATAATAATCCATATTTAACAGTTTTCATCACATATATCAGCCGTATGTTTGATAAAAATTAAATTCCAAATACTGATTGAAATGAGGACTAAGATTTATGCATGATGTTTTAATCCATAACTGTACTAAATGATCACGATTAAGTGGCCAAGACCTATGGTATGAAAAACATTTTATTGATCGAAAAACCAACTAGAATAACAGTCTATGTTGTTCATAAGATTAATCATTCTATGTTGTCAAACTTTTGTTTTTCTAATAGTTTATACCAAGCCTATTAGGAGAGAGAAATGCTGACAAGGTATAGTGGATAAAATCTTCTCAACCTATAACAATCCCATCGATCGACTTTATATTGCTTACCTTAGAAAATTCTACATATGAGCACATATGTTAGTGTATTATGGATAAATAATTCCCGACTTTTTTTAATAAATTTTTTTTTATATTTGGTGCGGTTTAATCAAATGTATCACAAAATGTTTTTTAAATGCAATCGGTTAGATCACAGATAACTCATATTATTTTCTTCATCTGATGACCAGATTATTTCCAATCTCTTCATTTATTGCCTTATAATACAAACCCAATATACACCCAGGATGTACAGTTATATTTTCAGTAGCGAAAATACTGTACATATATGAAATTACTTGAACTTTAACCGTGTTTCATCAGTTCAGCTGTTACATTCAATTTGTTTCTGGAGTTTTAGTATATTGAAAATGTTCATGAAAGATTACTACACATTATATCAGTGTATATTTTATTATTGTGCTTCTTCAGTGTTCCAATTTTTACCTACAAATATTTTACTCAAGCTCTTCCAGTAATGATTTTGAACAAGAATCTATGAGAAACTGTAGTCAAAAAAATCATAACTCGGTTCATAATACCTTATATTAAAATATTTAAAAGCAAACTGTTTACTATAGATTTCTTTTATTATAAGTTTGAAATAATACAAAAATACAAAGCTAATATGAGAAGGGGTTTTGTGGAGATTGTATTTATTTCAGTATTTGAGATCATGAGTCAATGGAAGCACTGGACGGCCCATTGTAGGACTCCTCAGCAATGCGCATCCACAATCTCATCTCGTGGGATTCGAACCCAGGACACATCATTCTCGCGCGCGAGCGCATAATATTGTGTTAAAATCTTGTAATTATTCAAAAAACAGAAAAAGAATTACTTTACTGAAAAAAGGGGATGACAAATTAGGTTATTTCATTTTATATTGAAGTCATTGCTACATGTTTTTATCTATATTCAATGTATTTCCGGTTTTAAACTCCAAAACTTTACGTATACACACTTATGATTTATTAACTTTGGTCATTTATTCTAGGTTTTGTTATGTAAGTGAAAACTGGATTTCACTGCTAACTACATTCTATCTGTTCTATATTAAGTGCCTTTTATAATCGTATAAACACTGATTTGATTAAGAAAAACAAGTTATACTTGAAACATTGTTCAAGAGAAAACTTTTCTGACAAGACAATAATCCTATGTTCACTTGTGACTTGCTCCGAGGTTCTAGTAAGAAGTCTTGACCAGTTGGATTTAGGATTGCGACAATTGGAATCATACGACCACGG